TGTCTTTACAAAGTATAAACAAAAGGCAGTACTGCTGAGTGCCACCCTAAAGAAGTCAGACTCATAAAAACATTATTGTGTGTCCTCGTCAGCTTTATTCAAAGGATCTGGCACCAGGTAACTCCTGGCTCTTCTCCAAAGTCAGAAGGACCACGAAAGGTAGTTTTAAATGTATAAAGACATAAAGGGAGCCACAAAAGCTCAACAAAAGTACTTGCTGCTTCACAAAGTGACAATAATGATGGGATAAATGTGTTCATCACAGGAAGGAATATTTAAGGGGGAGTAATGACAATGTGTCTATTATTGTAACAATTTTTTAATTTAAATATTCATCATATTTTTATCACATACACAATTTCTTTGTCACTAGCTAAATTTTTATGATTAAAAAATTTTATTTGACTAGTCTAAATCAGTGTCCCATAGGACATTAGCAAGATGACTTTAATTGTGCCACTGGCCTGTAATAAGTAAAGACCAGGGATGCCAGTAAACATACCACAATGTACAGGGTAAACTCTCAAAATAAAGAATTATCCAGTCCAGAGTGCCAACAGAATCTGTGACATCCTGGTCTAACTGAACAACAAAAATGAAATGTATAGAAAAGGAAACTAACAAGTATTAAGAACCTATTATGTGTCAAATATTTTTAAATTTTCACTTAAAAGTTTGTTACTGTGAAAATATTAATTCATAAATCTGTCACATATACTTACAACTAAACACCTACAACAATTAGCAAAAGTTGAGCTATGTATCTGTTACAGACTACCCTTTACCAAGAAATGAGTTATTTCACATCTAACACAAAACTTGATTTTCAAATTTTCCAGTCCACAAAATTCTTATTCTCAAAACAGCTCTGCCAAGTTTGGCACACCTATAATACCCATATACTCAGGAGGCTGAGGCAAGAAGAGCACAAGTTTGAAGCCAGCCTCAGCTACTTAGCAAGACCCTATCTCAAAAGAAAACAGAAAAAGAAAAGTTTATTTCTGTACATGCTAATAAATATACACCAGCCGAAAGTCTCTTATTTGTAATTATAAATTCTAAAATTCTAAAGCTGGCAACGTGGTGCACGCCTGTAATACCAGTGCTCAGAAAGCTAAGGAAGAAAGATCACCATAAAAAAAGCTAGGCATGGAAACATTCTGGAAGGTTGAAGCAAGAAGACTGAAGGTCAAGCCAAGCCTGGATAACTTAGATATTTAGTAGCAAAATGTTATCTTACTATAAAAAATTAAAAATGGCTGGGGATATAGCTCAGTAGGAAGGATCTAGATTCAATCCCCAGTACAGGAAAATTTAAAAAAAAAAAAAATCTGGCCCTAAGGTCTTTCAGATAAAGGACATAAAGTGAGTTCTTCCAAAAAAGTAGAAAGGTTTCAGGTGCCTGTGTACTTCAAAACTTTCAAATTTTCTGCTAGGCCTATAGCAACTATCAATTCATTATCAATTGATGACTTAATCAACTGTCAACTGTAAGTGATGGATTAACAATTACATCAGCCAGTTTAAAGATGACTTTTTTAACACAAGACAGCTCTGAAAATAAACAATTGTACATTCTGCTATATAATAATTATTGGTCACAAGTATACTTCTGCAAAAATGTGTGTAAAAATGATGCAAATTTCTTCTCTGAAACTAAAAAATGATTAAAATGTTTTTAAAAGGCCAGTACTTTCAGGCCTCTTGTATTCCTAGCACTCTGGGAAGCTGAGACTGGAAGACTGTAAATTTGGGCAAAGAATCTTAGCGGCTTAGCAACTTATAGAGACCCTGTCTCAAAATTAAACAATAAAGCACTGGGTATGCAGCCCTAGGCCAAAGCCCGAAATTCAATTTCTGTATCAAAAAAAACAAAAAAACAAACGAGAAATATTGGCAAACTGTTCCTCCAGAGAGCTATATCAATTAGCACTCTAACATATATGTGCATTCAGTTTATCCAAATTGGACAATGAAAGAATTTTAATTTTTTTATCTTCTCCAGTTTTATAGGGAGAAGAGATAACAACATAGATTTTTAACTGCATCTCTTGTTAACAAGTAAAACTGAAGTTTTTTTCATGTCTCTTGGCTATTTGTATTCTGTAAATTGCTTTTTTCTTGTTTTCCATCTTTTTCTATTGAAGCTCCTTTCACCTGTTAGTTTATAAGATATGTTTGCATATAAGTATAGTGACTTTTTAATCTGTTGTACATGCTTCAAGCATCTTTTCCAATTTCTCAAGTTTTTGCCTTACTTCTTTGTATTCAAGAATGTGGAAAATTGTTCATTAATAGTAGCTGTTAGTACAACCATTAACAACCACCACATTTCAAACTTAACAGCAGTTCTTAAAGTTAAGGGTGCACAAAAATCACCTCAGACCTTTATCTTAAAAATCTATTCCTAGGCTTCATTTCCACAGGTTTAATTATGTAGGACGAGGATAAAGTCCTAGAACACTGGCAAGTATCCTCAGTAGATTCTTAGATGGTCCAGGAAGGCTCCTAAAAAATGCTTCTTTATGGATTCTGCCTTCAACGACATACTTGGAATATCCTTCCTTACTCTAAAATTTAAAAAATAGCTGAGAATGGTGGCACACACCTATAATTCAATCATCACTCTGGGAGGCTGAGGCAGGAAGATCACAAATTCAAGCTGTGCCTGGGCAAGCTAGCAATTTAGTGGACCCTATCTCAGAAACTTTTTAAATGAGTAGAGGAAACAGGACAGGGATGTAGCTCAATGGAAAGGCCCTGGTTTCATTCCTCAGTACCCCCACAAAAAATTGGCTCTACTTTTAAAATATTTAATCCATCAAAATTTATTTATTAAATGACTGGTTAAATGCCTGAACATTATTTGCTGACTAATCATAACTTTCCCTTCTGATATGAAAAACAACTATCACCAGGAAATACTATTTTGGCTTCCACTGCTTACCTGTGTGTTTTTCTAACTAGTAAAAGAAAATCCTCTCGTTGCTTTTGTTGTTCAAATTTTTCTTGCACATAATCTTGGTGGTTTAATTTGCCATTTCTTTCTGTGCTCAATGAATATTGATTGATTTAATGCAGTCGGTGAATTTTATAAATACAAATTAACTTATAGTCATTCTGACACAATCTTGCCAAGATTGTTCTAGAAACTAATTAAAACTTTGAAATTGATGTGAAAACTAGTAGTATCTCTCTATTTTTGTCTTTATTTTAGTATTAAGTATTTTTGCTTCATAAAGACTACTTACAATTCCTATTAGCTTTATTCCTTGATGTTCTGTACTCATTATGGTTTAAAAATTGATTTCTCAACTGAGATTACATAGAACCTAATCCAAACTCTAACACTTACTAGCTGTGCAACACTGAGTAAGTCATTTACCCTTTCCTTGACTCAATTTATTATAAAATGGGGTGACAATAATACATACTAACAGGATTATTATGAAAATAAAATGAGACAAATATACAAAACTGTTTATACAAAGACAAACAGAGAAATAATGTTCAATAAATGGTAACCAACATTAAGGTTAATGAGTCTGTTCTCCAAACACAGTTTCTAAAAAGTTCCCTACACAGTATCTGTAGGAAAGTTGTTGATGTTTTCATATTTATCTTGTGTCGATATGTCCCCTGAATTTTCTTACTAGTAGTTCTTCAGTTACTTTTTTAATGGGGAAAAAACTTAAAAATTAAAAGGCAAATGAACTGGAACAATTTTCAGACAAAGTTAATTCATACCATTTAGCCATTAGGAGAGAATGATTCAAAAAATGCTAAAATAAATGATTGGTTATTTGAAAACATTTAAACTAGAGCCTCAGTTTAAACCATATGCCAATATAAACACCAGAAAAAAAAAAAAAAGGAAATAAAGACCAAACCCTGAAAATTCTAGACTACTCCTAACAGGATTTTTATAATCACAAAAAATTTTTAAAACTACTAACGGAGGGGCTAGGGATTTAGCTCAGTGATTCTGCCGACTGCCTGGCAAGTGCAAGGTCCTAAGTTCGATCCCCATAACAAAAAAGCAAACAAGCAAAAAAACTAATAACTCAAATGTTATTTTAAAGCAACTGTCATTTTAGGAAAGTTACTTATTATTATCATTATTATTATTATTATTATTATTATTAATTACCTGGCTCCCCTAACATTAGAATTCAAGCTGCACAAAAGCAAGGTCTCTTTTTGTTTTGTCAGTTTTCTGAGATTTGGTCTCACTCTGTGATTCAGGGTAGTCCTGAACTCCCTATGTAGCCCAGCCCAACCTTGAACAAGATCCTCCTGCCTCAGCCTCCTGAGTGCTGAGATTATAGGCATTTGCCATCACACTTGGCAGCTAGGACATTTTTTATGTTTTCTTCACTGATGTGTTCCAAGAGCACATGCATGGCACAAAATAGCAATCAAAAAGTATTTCCTTAAGGAACTGTCTAACCAGTGAAGATTATACAAAAAGTAGTATATTCATATCTCAGGATACTTAAACAGCAGCAAAATGAACTAAACTATAGTTACACACATCAACAGGGATCACTCTCAGAAAAATAATGAAAGAAATAAGAAAGTTACAGTGGAATACACAAAGTATAAAATGTAAAACTATTAACAAAAAAACATAGTAATTAAGATAGAAGCTAGGCATTGTGGCTACTCGAGTAATGCCAGAACTCAGAAGGGCTGAGGCAGGAGGATTTCTACTTCAAAGCCAGCTTGGACTATGTAGTCAGACTCTGCCTCAAACAAACAAACAAATAAATAAAATTTTCAAGCAATAGTTTTCCTAACAGTATACCTAAAGAGAAATGATTAGGAATTTATCTCAAAAAACAAAAAATATGAAAATAATTATATAATTCACAAAAGTCTCTTTAATAAATACCACTTGGTGACTACTTAAAAGAGAAAAAATTCCCTACGAGCCCATTTGCAGAAAAGAACAGAAATCCAAATGACAAAATGTTCAATAGTGGTAAAGCCAAACATACCTATAAGTTCAGGTGGGTTTCTTTCATTAAACCGCTCACAGAGACGAATGAATGTCTCGGTATTCTCAGTTGTAGGGCATTCACCATGTCTAATAATATGGAGAAAAAAAATCAATAAGTAGATTACAAATTTCAATGAAAGGTTTCAATTAAAAGAGACTTAACATATAACTTACCCTTTACACTGAAGTTTAATGTATTTGATTCCTTCTTTTTCTATGTCATGTCTGTCATAGAACCTTGATGTATTTGTCAAGTCTACCAACAAGCTCATTTTAACCTTAAAAAAAAGAAAAAAAAAGAAAATTTACTAGTAACTGAATTTATTCAAAATCAAGATAACTAGCTGGGCATGGTGACACACGCCTGTAATCCCAGCACTCGGGAGGCTGAGGCTGGAGGATTGCTGTGAGTTCGAGACCAGCCTGGGCTAGTGAGTTCCAGATCAGTCTCAACTACATAATGAGACCCTGTTTCAAAAACTAAAAACTAAAAAAAAAAAAAAAAAAAAAAAAAAAAAAAAAAAAAAATCAAGTTAACTAAATGGAAATACTATGGTTTATTCATCCTCATGGAGAGAGATATAATGTTCACTCTACCACAGAACAATGAAAGGACAAGAAAATAAGCAAAACACACTCCACTCTCACTATCATGAGGCTACTCAAAAATCAAAACAGTGCCATAGTTTTCTCTATCTCTGCACCTATGATCTACTAGACAAGAGCCAAGAACAGACACAGCATGAATATGAAATACACAAAGCTCTAGTGCAAGAGCATATTACCCCAGCATCCCAAAAGCCACCACTGTCACTCTGTTCATATCTACCAACTATACCACATTAATGTCACACACTGAAAATATGAGACTAGCCATTCACACCACAAATAGATATGTGTGTGCTCCCCTATCTTTCTATCTGATTAATAGTCATCCTGCCTGTTTTCTGAATATACACTGAAGTTTAAAGCTGATACACTGCTAAAATAAGCCAAGTCAAAAATTAAAAGAGAGTTGTAGGGTGTATAAGAAAGCAATTTCCTTATCTTCCTGGATATCATAGAACACAAGGTAATGATTTAAAAAGAAATAGAAAAAGGAAAAAAAAAAACCAACTTCATTTTCAATGAAAAGAAAAAGTATATGAGATCTATGTGTGCATTAAAAATATCTAAAACCTGCCAAAAGGAACTAAGAGTATTGCAAAAGCTTTGTGAGAAGGAAGAAAGAGAAACATATCCAGAGGTAGCAGAATTTTTAAAATGCCAACAGAAATACATTTCCTATAAGAAATCGTACAACCTATTTTTTTTCTTTTGAGACAGGGTCTCGCTAAGTTGCCCAAGTGAGCTTCAAATTTGTGATCATCCTACTTCAGCTTTCTGAATAGCAAGGATTACAGGCATACAACACTATGCCCAGCTTCAAGAGCTCACACTAAAGTGACAGATCTAGAGCTGAGGAATCTGGAAGAGACCAAACAGACTACATGCAAAACAGTGAAATATGAACCATGGAAGAAAAAAAGCCAATGTGTCTTCATCATAACTAGGCCTATCAAGGACAAAAAAGGAAGAAGTCTTCACCTCCTCAGCTTTTTAATCTGGGATTCTGAAACAAGTGGATGTATTATTCATTTTTTTATTACAAAATCGAAATTATTGTAATAGAATCATATCTTAAGCAGTTAAAAGTTTAAAATAACTGTATAGGATAAAAAGTATAGTAGTGACTCAGCAAAATCTTGTCTCAAAGTAAAAAAGTTAAAAAAAGGGCTGGGGATATATTCAGTTCAAAGGTGCTGGGTGCAGTTCCTGCTCGCTACCACCAAAAAAAGAAAAGAAAAAAAAAAAAAAGATACACAGCCACAGCCATATTTGTGTATCTCACTGGAGACTTAATTTCCTTGCTCAATAAATCAATCACAGCCAGTTTTTTAGTTTTTGTTCCAAAGCTACAACAAAAGTCAATATTTTTCTGTTAAAACAGTAACTGAAGTCATTTGTTTGTATCCAGGGGCCATGTGGTGTGAAATATCTTTAAAAATTAGAATCACATACAGCCTAATAAGACAGTCTTACTAAGAAATTCATGCCTGAACTGAGCCCAAACAAAGGAACAGTTACTTCACTGATCTTTTACCACATTCTGACACATACAAGACATCCATACTCTCTGGAAAGAAGAGCAAGTGCAATGATCTGTACTTTTGAGATCATGGTATCTCTTTATCTGTCTCTACCCCCATCCCTCAATGTTCATTAAGAACTTACTGCTAGACTTGCCTAAGAAAGACTGGTCTACATAATGATTAGTCTCCACTGTTACAGGGGAGAAATGGCAAAAGCATTTAAATTTCACACTTCACAAAATAAACAAGTATCCTTCTCAAACACACACTTCTCCAGGGACTGATTTTACAGGGCCTCAATATATTGCCCATTTGAACTCCTGGGCTGCAGTGATTGTCCTGCCCCAGCCTTCTAAGCAGCTGAGACTAGAGGCAAGTTCCACAATACCTGGTATTACCTCTACTGATTTCTTCAAATACTAGATACTGCTAGACACAAAGATTCAGAGGACAAATGGGTACTTTTCTTTTATAAATATGTAACATGAGGGAGTTCCTCTATGAAGGATTTCTATACCACCACCAGAAATTTAAACATGTACACATAGATAAATGTATATAAAAACTAAATTCTGAAATCTAATTAAGAATATTGTACCAATATCAGTTTTCTGTATCTGATATGATCCTACAATTATATAAAATGCCATCACAAAGAGAAGGTAGGGGAAGAATTCCTAGAACTATACATGCGATTTTGGCAACTTCCTCTCATAACTACTTCAAATATATAAAATGCCATCACAAAGAGAAGGTAGGGGAAGAATTCCTAGAACTATACATGCGATTTTGGCATCTTCCTCTCATAACTACTTCAAAACAAAATTAAGTCTTTTTAAAAGCCACATGTAGAACAAAATTAAATCAGTAGCAAAAAAAAAATAATAAGTTTTGCTTCTTACCTTTAAACTCTTTAAATAATTTGAGAGCATACTGGGATGGAACCGATTTTCTTCAGCAACTTGACTATCATATCTTGGTCCCAGCATTGTCTTCAGAGGTAAGAACCTTCCTGAACAACAGTGAAACAGGTAATAATGTTTATTAAAGAAAATATTTCAGGCTGAAATTCTATACTTAGCAACTCTCAAAATCACAAATGAAAACAATCTATAAATGCAGCTGTTCTTGAAAGGCTCTTAATCTAAATGGTACTTTGTAAAGATCCTAGCCATACATGGTGCTGCACACTTGTATTCCCATAACTCTAGGACACTGAGACAGAAGGATCAAAAGTTCAGCTTAGCTTAGGCAACTCAGCAATTTGCCAAAATCCTGTCTCAAAATGAAAACTAAATACGAGCCACAGCCAGATGCATCCCATGGACACCAGCAGCAGCCCCATCAAAGCACGCCACTCAGGCCACATGGTATCTGGATCCACACTGCAGAGGCAGGGGGCCATAAAGGCAATGGTTATGAGGCCCAAGAGATAGTTCAGAAGGAAACAACAGAGAGGGCCTCTCTGAGGCTCCTCAACAAAAATTGAAGCCCACTGTGAAAGTGAAGAAAACCTCAGCAATAAAGGCACACTGGACCACCAAGGTTGACTGCCTAAGAGTCATTAGAGACTAAAAGACTAAAAAGACCAGCTGTACCTGGAAGGTATCTCTGAGAAGCAATCACTCTAAATACAAAGGACTCTAAATACAAGCAGTAAAGACATTCACAATAAGAAATATTGAAGTATCAGCCCAGGAATTAAACAAAACAGCACCAACGACAAAATTAGAAATGAGAAGACACCTAAGAAAGGTGCAAAGCTAGACTTTCAGCTCACCAAAGGCAAATTCTTGGGAACACAAGGTGGAAAAATCTCATAATCAACCACCTGTACACCCTGAACTGATAGCACAGTAATAACAAAACAGATGAATGAGGCTCTAGAAAAATTCAAAACAGAAATAATTTCCCAGATAACTACAGAGATGGTGAGCAGAATGAAAGACATGCTTAGAGATTCTAGAACAGAAATATAAAAAAAGAAATAAGCTCAGCACCACGATGCAAGCCATGAATGCCAACCATAGGAAAGAAATGGAAACCATGATTCAAAGAGATATCCTGGAGATTAAAAACTCCACTGAAGGGCCGGGGGTTTAGATCAGTTGCTCCACTCCACTGCCTGTCTTGCAAGCACAAGGTCCTCAGTTTGATAAAGTATTCACAAAAAATTGAACAAATGTGAAGATAGACTATCAGATATAGAAAAGAGGAATGTGGTTAGTGACCATGAAAAGAGAGGTTTCTTAAAAGTAGTAAGGGACCATGAGAAATCAATCCAGCAGCTGGTAAATGATGCAAAGAAGAATAATGTAAAACCGATAGAAGTCAACAAAAAAGCAGAAGAAAGTACAAATGACATTAAAAAAAAAAAAAACTGTTCACAAAAATAACAGCAGAAAACTTCCCAAACAGAGGAAAAGAATTTGACATACAGATAATTGAGGCATATAGGACTCCAACTAGCCAAAACCAAAAATAATCTACACCTAGACATATAATAGTCAAGATCCCAGAAACCCAACAGAAGAACAAAATCCTACAAAAAGTGAGAGAAAAGAAACAAATTACATAAAAAGGGAAGCCCATCAAAATCACAGCAGACTTTTCAATATAAACCCTCAATTCACAAACCACCTGGAGTGAAGTATTTCAAGCCCTAAAAGAAAATAACCTCCAACCTAGACTGTTGTATCCTGCAAAATTATCTTTAAAAATAGATGGGGAAATTAGATACTTCCACGAAAAAGAATACCTGAAAAACTTCAATACGAGCAAACCAGTACTTCAAACAATTCTAAACAATATCCTAGGAAAAGACAATGAGGGTGGCCACTACATGAGGCCAAACAGAGCAAAGCCATCAGGCAAGGCAAGGAAAGGGGGAAAAATAAAAAACAAAAGAGCCAACAATAGTAAAATATCATGACAAGATGAGTCAATATGTATCAATTATAACCACCAATGTCAATATTCTCGATTCACCAATTAAAACAAATAAGACTGGCAGAATGGATTAAGAAGCAAAATCCAACAATACGCTGTATACAAGAAACACACCTAATTCAAAAATAAATTCACAGACTGAAAGTAAAAAGAAGGAAAAGAATCCTCCATGCCACAGGAACGAAGAAAAAAGCAGGGATAGCAATTTTATTTGCAGACAAAGTAGATTTCAAACCAAAACTAAAGAGAGACAAAGAAGGTCACTACATCCCTGTAAAGGGAACAACCCAAGAGGAAGAGATGACAACCATAAATATATATGCACCAAATACGAATACCCCCAACTACACAACAAATATTAATGGATATGAAAAACGAAGTAAGCTCTAATAAAATTGTAAGGGGGGACCTCAATACCCCACTGTCACAAATAGATCATCTAGACAAAAAAATCAACAACAAAATACTAGAAATGAACCAAGCTTTTGAACAAATGAACTTAAAAGATGTCTACAAAGTGTTCCACCCTACAAAATCAGAATACACATTCTTTCAGGCTGCACAGAGGTCATTCTCCAAAATAGACCACATGCTAGCTCATAGGACATGTTTAAGTAAATGCAAGGGAACAGAAGTTATCCCCTATATTTTATCAGACCATAATGCAATTAAATTGGAGAATAGGCTGGGCATGGTGGCGCACGCCTGTAATCCCAGCACTCGGGGGGATGAGGCAGGAGGATCACTGTGAGTTCGAGATCAGCCTGAGTTACATAGTGAGTTCCAGGTCAGTCTCAACTACATAGTGAGACCCTGTCTCAAAAAGCCAAAAAATAAATAAATAAATTGGAGAATAGCTAAGAACCTTCAAGAACTCCACAAACATAGGGAAACTGAATAACAGTCTCCAGAACAACCAATGGGTCAGAGAGGAAATTGAGGAAGAAATTAGACAGTTTCTACAATTAAATGATAATGCCAATACAACATACAGGAATCTATGGAACAAAATGAAAGCAGTTCTGTAAGAGAAATTCATAGTAGTGCCCATAGTAGGAAAACAGAGAGAGCTCAAATAAACAACCTAATGCTGAACCTCAAGTGCCTAGAAAAAGAAGAGCAAGACAACCCCAAAGCTCGTACAAGGGAGGAAATTATAAAGATCAGAGAAGATATTAATGCACGGGAGACTAAGAGAATGATACCCCCCCCAAAAAAAAATCAACAAATCAAAGTGTTGGTTTTTCGAAACAATAAATAAAATCAACAAATCCTTAGCCAACCTTATCAAAAAAAAAAAAGTGCTCAAATCCATGCAATTAACAACAGAAAAGGTGAAGTCACAACAGATCCAGAAATCCAGATGATCATCAATACTTACTTCAAGAAACTATACTCTAATAAAATGGAAAACAGAAAAAAAATGGACAGATTCCTAGATACATATAAATTGCCAAAGGTGAACAAAGAAGATATAAAAATTCTAAACACCCCAATTACAATCAGTGAAGTTTCAAATGTAATTAAAAATTTACCAACAACAACAACAACAACAACAAAAACCCAGGTCCTGATGATGGCTTCAAGATTCTACAAGACATTTAGAGAAGACCTATTGCCACTACTCTTTAAACTTTCCAGTGAAATTGAAAGGGAAGCAATACTTCCAAATTCATTCCTAGAAACAACTATTACTTCGATTCCAAAACCAGGGAAAGGTCCAACCAAGAAAGAGACCTACAGACCAATCTCCCCAGTGAACACAGATGCAAAAATTCTTAACAAGAGACTGGCAAACGGAATACAAGGGCCATCAAGATCATATACCCTAGGGCTGGGGATTTAGCTCAGTGGTTCTGCCACCTGCCTTGCAAGCTCAAGGACCCAAATTCGGTACCAAAAAAAAAAAAAAAAAGATCATATATACCCTGACTAAGTCAGATTTTATCCCAGGGATACGATGGTTCAACATACGTAAATCAATATAATACACTATATTAATAGAGCCAAGGACAAAAACCACATGATCATCTCAATAGATGCAGAAAAAGCATTCTTCAAAATCCAACATTCATTCTTGATAAAAACCCTACAGAAAATTGGGATAGATGGTTTTTATCTCAACTTGGTTAAGGCTATCTATGAAAAACCAACAGCCAACATTATACTAAATGGTCAAAAGCTGAAAACTTTCAGAATAAAGTAAGGAACAAGAAAAGGATGTGCACTATCACCACTCCTATTCAATATGGTTCTGGAAACATTAGCCACAGTAATTAGATAAGAGAAAGAAATAAAAGGAATAAAGATAGGAAAGAAGTAAGTTAAACTGTCATTATTTGCTGATGATATGATACTCTATAAGGAAGACACAAAAATCTCCACCAAAAGACTTCTAGGCTTAATTGACAGATTCAGTAGGATACCTAGATACAAGGTCAAACCTCAAAAATCAATAGCTGTCTTGTACACAAATAACAGACTCATTGAGACAAAAATTAAGAAAACAATTCCTCTCTCAATAGCACCCCCAAAAATGAAAATATCTAGGACTCAATCTAATGAAGGTGGTAAAAGACCTCTACATTGAAAACTATAGCACTCTGAAAAAAAGAGATCCAAGAGTATATAAGAAAATAGAAAGACATCCCTCGCCCTTGGATAGGAAGAACCAATATGTAAAAATGACCATACTTCCAAAACTGCTATATAGATTTAATGAAATTTCAATTGAAATCCCAACAGCATATTTCACTGAATTAGAGAAAACAATCCAAAAATTTATTTGGAACCAGAAGAGACCTAGAATAGCAAAAGCAATTCTAGGCAACAGAGACATGACAGAGGTATCAGAATCCCCAACTTGAAATTATACTAATAAAGCAACTGTGATTAAAAACAGCATGGTACTGGCAAAGACATAGACTAGAGGATCAGTAGAACAGACTAGAAGATTCAGACACAACTCCAGACAATTCAGCCACCTCATGAAGGAGCCAACCATCCTCACTAGAAGATAGTCTCTTTAATAAATGGTGTTAGAAAAACTCGATTTCAGCCTGC